TTCAAAACCAACCTTGCTTCACAAAACTTACTCTCTATTTTTTTTAACAAAGCCAATATCTATTCACTCAGCCAAGTCAAAACTCAGAACAATTCCAAAATTCCCGCACACAGTCAGGAGGTTATTTGAATTTGCCTCCTAAAAAGCTGCACTTTCCAGCCTACCTTTGTCCTCATTGCTCTACTGTAGCAGCCATCCCATGTTGACAGTAACCTCCTGATTGATTTTTCATCTCCAGTTGTCCCCTTCTGGATCATTCTTTATACTATCACCGGAACTGTCTTCCTAAAATGTAGGCCTTCACTTCCTCCATATGATAAAATCCAAGCTCTTCGTATGACATACGAACTCTGTCCTTTCTTCCTAGGCTTCATTTTTCTACCACTCTCCAGCATGCACACTGTACTAAAACCATTCCAAACAGCTCACTGTATTCTGGGCATAGCGTGTGGCGTCATGCCTCCTATCCTTTGCATGAAATGCAGCCCATTTCCCTCTTAAAGTTTCTACTCAAGCATTACTTTCTTTGTGATGCCATCCCTAATATCCTCTCTTATGGCACTGTGCGGTAATTACTTGTCTGTCTCCATCAGACTAAAAAACACTGTTTGAAGGGTATTACTAAATCTTTTCATTCATTAGTACTTAATAAGTTTGAGTGCATAAATGAGCACAGTATCTTCAGGCAACAGTGAACCACAATTCCTGGATATTTTGGGTGATGGTCAAATATTGACTTTGGGAAGGACCTCAGAGAAGGTCCAGTTCTTCACTTATCACATATACAAAATGAGGAGCAGTAAGGTTAAGGGACTTCAGCTCCTGTTCCTCAGACACGTCATACACATTGATGCCTTCATGCCTTGTTGCTGTTCTTCCTCTGCCTAGAATGGACTGTTCTACCTGGACATGTACTATTTGTCCATGGACCTTGTTCTTTCAGTGTTTTTTTCAGTACTTGGATCACCAATATGAGAATTACCAGGAGTGCTTTTTTTTTTTTTTTTTTAAAGATTTTTTATTGGGGGGATGGGAACAGTGCTGGGGAATTGGGGGAAGGGGAACAGACAAGTTGCTGTCGTTTTTGTTCTTCAGTCTAGCTGTGGAGGACGTTGCTTCACTGGACCAAGTTGGCACCATCATTGCACTCTTCCTGGGCGAGGCACATCAGTCGCCGGCTTCTGGACGGCCGCTCACTGCGGCTGCTGGCCGCTCACGCTGGCTGCTGGCTACATATGGTAGCCCATGGCAACCCACTGCCACAGGGACTGTAGCCCACGCCATCGCCAGCGACCCACAGCAGCCCAGCTACAGGTCGAGCTGTTGTTCAGCATCTTAGCTGTGGAGGGCAGTGTCACTGGCCCTCATATGTGGGATCCAAACCGGGGCCCTCTGGCGTCCCAAGCCAGCTCTTAACCATTGCGCCACTCGGCCGGCCCCAGGAGTGCTTTTTTTAAAGTGCAGGTTTCTGACCTCTGTCATAGTTTCTGAGTCCAGCTCTAAAAAGGAATCCAGGAAAATGCATTTTAATTGAAGTTTCACTATATTAACCTAAGAAACTAGTCTCTGCTTCCCCGTCTCTTTTTCTGTAAAATAAGTGCGAGCACACTTGGGGGGCGGGGGCATATTCCTTCCAAAATGAGTATGGAACTGTTTAGTAATAGCTTTCAATAAATCTTTTGTGTTTTCTCTTTGTTACTAAAAAAAATAAAAGCAAACTGACCCAAAATTATATAGCGATCAGGACAGAAACTAATTGAAGTTTAGATTTACAGAGATAGAACTCAGGTACTTATTTGAGTATTTACAATGCACAGGTAGGTTTGTTCTCTTATCTAGACAAGAGTTCTAGCTCCTTAGTTTGCTCAGCAAGGTACCAATCTTATTGTTTGTCTAGATTTAAGAAAAAATAGTGACCACTTGCCATGTGCTGAATGCTCTGGGTTTGGCTTTTTATATCTGTGGTCTGAATATAAAGCCGCTAACTTGTATGGATCCATTGCCAACAAGCAATATAAAATACCGGCACATCAGAGTCTTGGGAGACAGTAGGATCCAGAATTGTACTTTCTTCATTCTCTCGAAAGCTTGACCAAAGAAGCATTATTTCAGAAGACCATTTCAAGGTTGTGCTGTCTATCCATTCCTCCTGATGGATCAAGCGGAACCACTCAGAACTTATGCACTTGGACTATATTAATTCACTGAAGAATTATTTTCACTGAGTCATGCTTAATCATGTTAAATGTCACTGTGCCCAGTCATAGGAATTTTTTTTTTAGGATTTAGGAATAGAAAATGTATTCTTTTTTTGCCCAATTCTTTTTGATATTTTGTAAATATTGTAAAATGTATAAATGATTTCTCTTTTTGTGCTTTTGCTTCTTAGAAGCTGAAAGGTGAATATCTAAATTGACCTTTGTGATCTATAGTTTTTGTTGTTTACATGTTCTTGATTTTCTACTTTTACTTGTATTATAAGTGGCTTAAAATTCTTTGTGAAATAAATAAAATGTATACTAAATTAAGTTAAATGTCTGACATTTCAGTTCAACGTAGAATGTTGTTACTGAAGTATTAGCCAAAACCTTTGATAACTGGATTGTAGAGTAGATAGAAAGTAGAATGAAACCCTGTTTTTTAATTAATTAATTTATTTATTTATTTATTTATTTATTTATTTTAGTTTCAGGTATACAGCACAGTGCAATAGTTGTACTTTTTACCCCTCAAAGTGACAACCCCCTCCCCCAATCTGCCATCCCACTCTCCCCCCAATATCATACATATCTATTACAATTCCATTGACTCCACTCCCACGCTACGTAGACTCCACATCCCATGGCTATATATATATATATATATACACACACATACATACATACATATATATATGTACAATTATAGTTGACATACAATATTATACAACATCAGCTTAAGGTGTACAGTGATCAAGCCTCTACACTGTCCATGAAGTGGTCTTTCTAACAAGATATGTGACCATCTGATACCCTACAAAAGTATTGTGTTCCAAAAGCAAATGTGAGGGATGTATGTAGGTAGATACTTACTTTTTTTCTTAAAAGTAGTTGAATGCATAATGTGAATGAAGTACCAGTTCATTTAAATGCCATTATTTGTACCATTATGGAAACATTAGTTGCGGAAATAAATGGATTGAAAAAAGTGTATGTTACAGCAATATTGGCAGTATTAGCAGATGGTCTAAAATTGTTTCTATATGGTTCCCTTGTATTGTTAATGCTAAGGAACAGCTCCCTGCTGGATGTTAAACCCAAAGATGAATATGTTTATAGAATTATCATAGTCATAATTGAATATCCTTTGTAATGGTGGAATTAGATGTGCTGTTGAGGAAAGGATAAACATTAAGTATTCAAGGGCATCTTATTCCACAAATGAATTCCATCAAAGAAATTATTTTATAAAAATGTCACAGGTAAAAATGTAAGTTCTTTAAAGGTAAAAATGAGCTCTTCTATTTAGAATGACTTTGGCTAGAAATCATTTTTTAATTTCTAAAGACAAAGAAACCTAGTCCAACGTTATTTCTTTGTTATTGGATTTTGGTGGCATTTTGTATTGTATTTAAAAACTTGAGAAACAATGTTTTTCAATTTTAGATAAATTATCAAAATCAAATTTCTGTTCTTGCAAAGCAAAGGACTACTGCTAATCAGTAGTCCTTTGAAGGATAGTATTGCTGGATGTAGAGTTCTTGGTGGACAGTATTTTTCCTTTCAGCATTTCAGTGTCATCCCACTACCTTGTGAGCTGCTGATGAGAAAAGTTAGCTGCTAATCTTGTTGAGATCCCCTTGTATGTAATGTGTGATTATCTCTTGCTGCTTTCAAGGTTTTCCCTTCATCTCTGTCTTTCATCAGTTTGACAATGATGTGTATAAGTGTAGATCTCTTTGAGTTTGTCCTATTTGTAGTTTGTTAAGTTTCTCAGGTATTGAAGGTTTTCATCAAATTTGATGTTTTCTGCCATTATTTCTTAAATTTTTGTCTGGCTCTTTAGTCCTCTCTTCTCCTTCTGGAAGTCCCATTACATATATCTTAGTGTGCTTGACGGTGTTCTACAGGTTTCTGGGGCTCTGTTCATTTTTCTTCATTCTTTTTGCTGTCTGTTCTTCAGACTAGATAGTCTCTATTTATAAATGGAATTTCTTAAATGTATCATAGTCTAAAACTTAAAATTTCAAATTTGTGTTCTTTTTAAAAATTGGCCCACCACAAGTTACTTAACCTTTCTGTGTCTTTTTCTATTCTCTTTAAAATGGGGCTAATAAAACACTCAACTGGAAAAAAAAATGGTCCTACCAAATACTAAATGTGGAGTTAGATATTTGTTTAGATACAATTTGATTGTCTTCCTCATTTTTGCTAATTTTTGACATTGGTATGTGAGGTATAGTGCATCAGGACTCAGAATAATATTGCAGGCCAATTCCTTGATTAAAAAGTGCAAAACAAAAAGAACACAACCCCTCTTTTTGTTTTATCTAAAAATGGTGGTTGTTGAGGGATGGTGTGTAGTTCATGAGGGAAGGTGTCACAGATCAATGAAGTTAACTTGGAGGCGAGGTGGGCTGGAGAGACTGGGGAAATTTTATTATAAGGGAAGGGTATATGCAGAAGGCCGGAAGCAAGAGAAAACATGACACATTTAGAATGAGACAAGTTATTCAGTATGGTAATATGACCTAAATAGAGGTTAAAAAAAAAAAGCAAAATATCATTTGGAGTATTGAAACTTTATCCAGGAAATGGGCGCTACCTTATTTATTGTAGAAGTGCTGTACATATGTAAAATCTTATTTTATTTTTTTTGAGAGAGGAAGAAGTTAATTAAATTTCAACTAAGAAAGCAACTAACCAACAAATTAGTCTCTATTTATTTAACAATGATTTCCTTGTTTACCATTTTGAGTCATTAAAATTTTTTTGTTTTAATTGTAGTTGTTTTCATTGCAGGTGGAGGACTGTGACACCAATTGGACATCCTCTACCTGGAACCCGATTTATTGCTTTTAAAGTTCCTTTAAAGGGTGTATGTATATTATTTTCTTATTTAATAAGGAGGATTGAGACTAATGTGATGCATGTTTATTTAATGTTATGCTTTCCTTTGTAAAAATATTTGAATGCAAGTTTCCAGCAAATGTTTAACATGGAGGTAATAATAAGCCTTTCACACATATAGTTATTAATTGCTGGTGTAAGGGAGTAGTTTTGAATTTTTAAATAACAACTTCATTGATATATAATTCACATAACGTAAAATTCACCTATTTAAGTATATAATTCAATAGTTTTTAATGTGTTCATGGAGTTTTACAGCTGTCACCACAATTTCAGAATATCTCATCACCCCCTTAAAAAAAAAAACCCATGCCTAGTAGCAGTCATTCCCCTTTCTCCTGTACTCCCACCCCCCACTCCCTAGGCAACCATCAATCTCTTGTGTGTGTTCATAAATTTGACTATTCTGGTTTCATATAAACAGAATAATACAATATGTATTTTTTGTGACTGGTTTCTGTATCATGTTTTCAAGGCTCATCTATGTTGTAGCATGTATCATACTTCATTTCTTTTTATTGCCAAATTAAATTATTTTTTAATGATTAAACATATTTTACTGAAAACAGATTTAACAACATTAAATACTCTTGAGAGAAAAGATCTTTAATCCTAGTGTTATTTTGATTTTTATATTATATCTATTTAAAAGTTATAATCCAAAAATAAAGATGCATAACTTTTTAGTTCTTACCTCCAGAAAAGATCAACATTATTTTACCAATTTGTCAAATCCTTTGTATAGCATTTCCTAAGAAATCAAAAGATACTTGAAACCCATGCCATGTTTTATATGGCCTCAGAACTATGGCAGCTGTACTTTCTCTTGACTTTGGGACAGTGTGAGTACACAAATCAAAATCTTTTATACTTGCCTAGTTTAACTCAGATCTTTCTTTTTCAGTGGGTTTGTAAGTTTCTTTTTTTATATATTGAGATATAATTCACATACCATAAAATTCACCCTTTTAAGGTATACAATTCAATGTTTTTTAATATATTCATTGAGTTGTGTGATCATCACCAGTAATTCCAGATTATCATTTTCATCACCTTAAAAGGAAACTCTGTACCCATTAGCAGTCATTCACCATTTTCTTCCCCTGGCCCCAGCAACCAACCACTAATCTACTTTCTGTCTCTATATATTTGCCTATTCTGGAAATTTCCTATGAGTGGAATCATAAGTATGTGGCTTTTTGTGACTAGTTACCCTCTCTTCGCATTATTTCAAGTTTCATCATGTACCATGTACTAGAAGTTCATTTCTTTTTATTGCCAAATTGAATTAATTTTTAAAACATATCTATTTGGCCTTGTAGTACATTATGTTAACTGCAGTTTTTGTTTTTTTTAATTAATCGTATAATATAAAAATCAAACCTGTTGCACCATCCTCACATACCATTGAGGAGCAGTAGCAGAGCAGTTTGGGAGCATGCTGGTATGTTTAGACTCTACCAAAGTTGTAGATTTACCTCCAGATAATCCATATAACATTTGACAACAATTTTAAAATTCTGTGTTCTTTGTTTAATATAAACATGGAAACTTAGAACCTTTATATCTGGGAGAAAAATGAATATTTAATCAAACAAGGCAGCCTGGTCTCATGAGCTGTTTAAAGATGGTAATTTCTGGGTTAAAATACTGACTGGCATTTAGCCTGACATTGGACAAGTATTGGGTTGTCAGAAAAGTCATGACGCATTTTTGCAATGAAAAAAAATACGTCACGACTTTTCCGACAACCCAATAATTTAACTTATCAGAGCCTCAGCTCCAAGATCTTTTAATGTTGTAATTATAAGAATCTTAGATTCATTCTGATTACTATTTGATTGAAAAAATCCCTCAAGATTAACGATAACTTTACTACAAAATTATTTTTCATCCATGGTTTATATTTTATTTCAAACTCAATTTGATGCAAAAAAACACTTCCAGTAGACCAAAGCACGACAGTCTTTAAAATGTGCTGAGTCCTCGGTGACAAGGAGTTACATTCCTCCACCTTATAGTCTATATCGTGTGCCCTCTAAGCAGTCCTTTCCAGTTGACTAGAGTTCAGTCAGTGTATCTCATTTAATGAAGTAGACTCCCACTCCAATGTAAGAATATGCTTAACTACTTTTTATTTATAGGTGAATATGCATTGGGCCCTGTGTTAAACATTTTTGCACTTAATCCTCATAGCAATCCTATAGTGTAAGTACTGTTTTACAGATGATAACATTGAAGCTTAGAGAGGAAAGTAACTTGTCCAAATCACATAACAGTGACAGAACTGGGACTCAAGCCCAGGGTGGTCTGATAGTTTCTAAGCCTCTGATCTTAATTACAAAGGCCTTTGCTGTTTTCCGAATGGTAGGCATTCTGTAACTTCCCTGTGTGAATGTGTGTGTGCTTTCACTGGATCTCACTGCAGACCCAACTATATTTTAGATTCTAATTCTATAAGTGGCCTTAATTTGGGTTCTTTGGGAAGCAGACCCATAGACAAGGATTTGAATTCAAGTGCTTTATTAGAGAGGTTATCCCAGCAAGTACCATCATGAGAGATTGAGGATGTGAAACAGGAAAGTGAAGGATGCCAGTAAAGGATGTTGTTATCAGGTTATCTGGGGGCAAGCTCAATCCCTTTTAGGGAACTCAGCTCAGAATACAGAGTTATCCAACTAAGGGACAAGGAATTTAGGGCTATTATCCTCAGACTGTCATCTGTCTTTGACTGAGGGCTTTTCTTGGAACCATTAAAACTTCTCTGTGCTACCCTGTGCACACATACCAGAGAAAGCTGGCAGGTCGGTTATGACAGGTGCTTTTAACAGGATGCTGCAACCTGCCTTGGGATGTGCTGAAGTGTAATGGGTGGGGTGCTGAGAAACAGCTACAGAAACAGGACCCAAGACTTCAAACTGTTTCTCAGGGTTTTCTTTCTTTTTTTTTTTCTCTTCTAAGTTAGCATGCTAATGACAGATAATTTGGTTGATCAGCTTTGAGAAGATATAGAAGCTTTTTTTTTCTCTTCCTTTGGAGCAAAGAAGTTCAAAAAAAGCTAGCCTGGTTTATTCTATGAGGAAAGTGTATTCCCAACAAACTTTTTTCATAAGGTAGAGCCGAGGAGGAAGATATTGCTAAGAAAGGTATACAAGGGCTTAGAAAATACTCTCAAGTAGTGTATATTCAGCTCTTGGTAATTCATGAGCGAAATATCTGCTTCATACATTCATTTGCAGCTATGTTTACTTGCAACTAGTTTAATTTCTGATTTTTTGTTTGGTCTTTGAATTAAAGATCACTCAGTGTTTGGAAGCAGAATGAGGCTAACACAGAGAATAAGAATAAGCCTCGTTTCATTTTAGATAATCTGTTCTGAATGTGTCAAACTATGAGAAAGTGGATATGATATTCTCTGGCTAATTCAGCCTTAGGACTTTAGGTTAGGGTATTTGAAAGAGGAAATCATTTACCTGGATACATAGCTAATTTTAGAACTAAAGTGAATATAAGGGTAAATCAGTGCAGTAGTTTCTAAATGCTAGTCTTAGACTACCATTCCTGGTTGCCTCTGAATCACCAGGTGAGCTTAAAAATGGTTCCCAGATTCCACCTCACAGAAAACTGTTTCAGTAGCTCAGGGTGGGGTCCAGAAAGAAACTTTTTTGTTTTTTCTAAGTTTCTTCAGGTGATTACAGTGGGTATCCGGGTTTGGAAATCACTGAGAGAATCAATCTACCTTATTTTAAAGACGTATAACCCAGGAAACTCTGACTTAGTGACTTCTCTAAGGTTATACAGCAAGGTAATAGTGGAAGTATGACTGTACCTACTTTTTATGACTCGCCAGAGTTCTACCCACAATTTCACAGCTTCCTGTCCTATTTGAAAGAGGGAAGGAGGGCTGTCACAAGATATCAGACATTTACAGTTCTTTTTTACATGAAGGAAATAATGTCCTTATATAGAAAATTACAGATGTCAACCAGAACAAACATGATTTTGCTAATTGGAAAGAATTTTATTAGAATCAAATCCATTAATATTAATTGAATGAGGCACTTACTAAATTTCTGAAGATGAACATAGCCTGCAGAAGTTCTTTAGGAAGTTTCTCCCATAGATTCTAGATTCTAAACTAAACTTTTAACTAATGTAGAAAGTTTTAATTAGTTCTTTTTTATTGTAGTTGCAGAACCAGTGCCTATAGGTCTTGTGAGTCTGGAGGAGATCAGGAATACTCGAAGATTGTGCTATGCAATATGGTAGCCACTAGCCACATGTGGCCATTGAGCACTTGAAATGTGGCTAATCCAAATTAAGATGTATACTGTAAGTGTAAATTACACAGTAGATATTGAAGATTTAGTTTAAAAAAAAACCAGTAAAATTTTAATTTTTTATTAATTTCATGTTGAAATAATACTTTAGATATATTGAGTTAAATAATATGTTAAAATTAATTTCATCTGTATCTTTATTCTTTGAATTTGGCTACTAGAAAATTTTAAATTACATATGTGGCTTATATTTCTATTGGACAGCACTGCTCTAATAGTTATAAACTATTTTACAGAAATACAGCATGTGTATTTTACACATCAGTGGAGATATGATGCAGAGCCTGGTGGATCAGACTTCTGTGCAGGTTCTTCATTCCTTGGCTTAGGTGACCCAAGAAGCAAGCCCTTAGTTGTCTTGGAAAGCTGAATATGCTCCAAGAAAATAACCAGGAAGTCACAATTTCCTCGAATTCTTCTAAGGAGATATAACGGCATATATTTTTCTATAGCTCTTCAAAACTTCCTAAATTATAGTGTTTACATGTAATCCATTGTTTTGGACCCTTTGTACAAAGTGTTTTTACTTATATAAATAATGGTGCAGTGAGTATTCTGATATCCAATCTCTTTTCCCCCCACATCTCTGATAATTGCCTTAGGATAATTTCCTAGATGTGAAATCACTGAAGAAAAAGATGTAAATATGTTTAGGCCCTTCTCATAGCTGTAATTAGTTTAAAGCTTTGTCAGTGTTCTTAAAGCTGTGAAAATTCTCACTGATTTTTTTGCCTTCTTATGTTTTTTTCTCTTCTTTGTTTTATGTTAACTATTGAGTCATTGGAAAAGTCATGACTTATTTTTCTATGTTTTTCATTGCAAAAATGCGTCATGACTTTTCCGACGACCCAATATTTACATTTCATCTTTATCTTGTAACCTTATTGCTCATTTTTCATTATAGGCAGTTAATCAGAGACTTACTCCAACCCAGAAGTTTACACCAAAAGACTTGATTAGTGCAATAAAAGCACTAAATGTGGAGCTTGGATTAATTATCGATTTAACATATACCACAAGATACTATGAAGTGAAGGTAAAGTTACAAATGTATTTCGTTATCATGGATAGGTCTTGAAATAGAAAAGACTTTCACATTGTGTTTGGAAAATGAATTGAGATGTTCTCTTGGTTTTTTTAAATATAAGTTTCAGAATTTCCCATGTGTAACCTCTTAGAAATCTTCTAAATCCTTCACATAATCATATATTCTTTTCTAAAATCATGAATTGTGCAGACAAGAAAAAAATGGAATTTTATTTAAGAGAACAAAATAATAGAAGAAAGAAATGTAGATGGACATAGAAGGGGAAAGCAAAAAAGGAACAGGAAACAAGAAAGGAAAAGAGTGTATGATGGAAAAGAAAGCAAAAGAGAAAAAGATAAAAGAAAAAACATGAGACAGGTGCTAGTCTACAACAGTGTTTTTCGAACTTTCTTTAGCATCAAAATCATTTCCATTAAATCTTGCTCTGAAGCCCATTATTTGAAGCAGATAAACAGGGAGTTGTGCTGGTTGAAGCAGGAGGTTAAGGAGCCACTAGGCCTCATCATCATCCTCCAGTCCTCCCCTCCCCATCCCCAATCTTAGGGCGAGTCCTTGGCACCTATCTAAGGGACAGTCCTAATCTAAGGGACAGTCCTCCCCGCACCTTCTCCAACCTTAGACAGTCCCCCGCTCCCTATCCCTAATCTTGGAGAGCAAGAGTTTTAAAACCTTGCTCTAGAGGAAAACAACTCTTGAACCTTGCTGTTCAATTGGATTGGTACCATCAAAGATGTCATCTCTCATTTACCCTGATTAAGTGACATTTTGTCTTGGATACATTGCTGCCATGTCATAGTTCAACATACATAAAACTAAAGTACCATCATTTCTTTTTACTCTCACACCACTCCTTCCCAAAAATACAAATGAGCACTCTCCAACTGTCTAGTTTCTCCTGAAAGCCTGTCAGGGAGTCCTCTGTCCTCCTGGTACCTTACATAAGGTCAAGAACTAAAACCTGCAGATTTTTCCTTGTGAAATGTATCTCAGATTCTCCAGGTCTTTTACCTGATTACTCAGCAGCTAGTCTTTTTTCACTCTTCTTTGACTAGTTGTCTTAAACAAAATTTTCATGCCAGTTCCTAAAAAAAAGCCTTCGTTCTCTCTGCCCTCCTCCCTGTTTTTAAGGTATCACATGCAAACTCCTCTCCCCGACTTTCAAGGCCCAGTTTAATCTGGCCCCCTTCTCATCTTGCTCTTCTCAGTCCCTTACAACATACCATCCTCTCTAATTAGGTATATCTCTGCTCTATCTCATGAACTTTCTATGCTCATTCTTAATTGTATGCCTGAAATCATTCCATAAACTTGGAATATTTTTCTCTCCATCCCTGCCTAAAAGTCCACCTGCTCTTCAAGGCCTAGCTACTACTGAACTGCTGCACATATAACCAGTTGTTTTATTCAGCATATATATAAATGTTCAAGGGTGATTACCCTTGTTTTTCCAAATATATTATCTGCTCCTAGGATCTGATTTTAGGCATTTACACTCATTGCCAACCTTGGCATTCTTTAATTGAATGTTGCTAATTGATTAATTGATTTTACTTAAATGATTTTATTCTTAGAGCCTCCACTTATACTGGCGATGCCAAAAAAAGCATACACATGACTTGTATTCATCTTTTGTTATCGGAATATATTATTACAATTTTAATACAGTTTTTTCCTTTCTTAAAATGTGTACACATTTTTTTGGCACCCTCTGTAGATTCTCTTGCAAAATTTTAGAATCAGTCAGGGAAACATGTAACCTTTTTAAAACAGGCTTACTAAACATAGCCTAAACTGACATAAACTGACATCTGGAATCCTAGCACCAACTGTGGAGTTAACACTTTATGTTTGTATATTAGGTTGACCCTGTGTCTCATTAATCATTTGAATCCTTAACTCATTATTATCATGGGCCACTGGGAATTGGGCTTATTTTATAGTGTCTTTCATGTAGTGTACAAAAGAGTGCTACACAAATTGGTCTAGTGTGCCTTCAATATAATCATTGTACCCTATTTTTAAAATACTTTATTGTGAGTTTTATTGGGTTGAAGAATTTGTTTTTAATAACTTACAATTGTTGCATTCTGTTTTCCTTTGTTTCTAGGATTTACCTAAAAGTGTTCATTATAAAAAACTTTACACTGTTGGACTTGAAGTCCCTGATAATACTACTATTCTGCAGTTCAAAAAGTGCGTCAGAAAATTCCTTTGGGAAAATGCAGAAAATGGTAATTAACAATGTTTGATATAGTCAAACTACTTTTACTTAATTGATAAAGATTATTGTAGTAAAAATTATCATAGACCACTTAAACATGATATACATATTTTACTCAAATACTTCAAGTTAAAAGGACATTATCAAAGATTTCCCCTGAAATTATGTGTGCATGTCCCTTATTTTAAGAAAACTTGCTTTGGGGAATGTAAAGCATACAGAAAAGGTACATTGAGAGATGAGTATTTGCTTTTCAAATAGATCCCCTACAGCATTCCTTAAATGCTGATACCCTGCGAACACATAAAAACGTAAGTCAATATTTAAAAATTGACTCAGAAATAACTTTTCTTGAAAGACTGTGTAGCATAAAATAAGGCACACCTTAGTCTTTTTTGGTGTATGATTTGGCTTTATATAGAAAAGAAAGATAAAACTTACAAGGTTGTATAAACCTTTTAACTCCGTGAATCTGTTGGGTTGGAGGGGTTCCTAAATAAATAGAGATATATGTAAACATGTATGTATAAGGATGTCCATCGATGTGTTTTATAATAATGAAAAATTGGAAAGCTCCTAACGGATCACTAACATGAAATTGGTTAAATAAATTGTGGCATGTACATACACATGGTATACCAAGCACATGTTAAAACCCATGTAAAAGAAGACTATTTAGTGATTTGGCAAAATGCTTGTGAGACGGTTTTAAATGACAGTGTCATTACATAATTGTATTTATAAATAATGAGTAAATATAGCTGAATGGATAAACATCACAGTTGTCCTTTTCCTGTATTTGCTTGTTACAGAACGAATTACATGGGCTAAAATAATTACAGCATGTGCCAATTCTCCCTTAACCTGCCTGCATGAATCTCCTGAAATAAGCAATTATTTTTTACACTCAGAAATGTAAAAAGAACAAGAAACCTATTTTGAGGGTGAATGAACAGAAAGAAAAGGACAAAATTGGTAGTGCCTGTCTAGTTCCTGGCCTCAGGGAAGAGGAATTTCAAGAGACCAGGGCTGCTGCTCTTGGGAAGTGACTTATTTCAGATGCATTGCTAATGACTGCTCCTTAGCCAGCTGTTCAGTAAGACCTTGGGAAGTAGAATTGGTTTCAGGGTTTTAGGCTGATCAGAATGGTTACAATGTCACCCGCAACAGCCTTGTTCTGGACCCACAGCTTCTCATTTTTAGTCTGTCTGTTCCACCAAATCAAAAACAGCTTCATTAGCTTATTTTCTCCAAATATTAGGCAGAGGGGAGGGGGGGACTAATGGCTGTTAGTTCAACTATTTATATTAAGGAGAGAAATTGAATGAATCAGGACCCTGTTCTTCCTGGGTTCTGCCAAGCAGCATAAAGTTACATTTTAATCTGTGATACCAGAAAGTTTGTGATGCTTTGGACACTAGAACATTGATCTGATCTTAGGCTCTTAATTTTAAAAACCAAGTAGAGGAAAAAAGTTTTGTATATGGGTTGAAAAAGATATGCATCCCTTCTTTATCCCTACCCCCAAAGTTAGTCAGCGCTAGATCTTTAGGAAATATTCTCTAAATTCCAATGGAAATACTCAATCCTGGCTTGATCTACAGTCCTCCTTCTCTTCTTTTGCATGTTAGAGAAAACCTCCCCAGTATGGATGGGTGTTAGCATGGATTGATGGGTAAGGGTTTCATCTAGGTTCTCAGTGCTGCTTTGCAGTCTTCACCCTATCCCTGGTCAGCTCACTCGTCTGCTTCCAAATCTTGCCTCCACCACACTCATTTTCCTCATTCTCAGCAGTAGCATAGCTTCCCACTTCTCAGTGAAAATAGAGGACATCAAGTATGATGTTCCTTCCTCACTTATCTTACTGTATCCATATTTTCATAGCCTTCCTTCCCTTTGCTTTCTTAAGAAAAGCAAACATTCTTTACCTTTACTGGGTATTCTCTCCAATCCTGCTCTCTCCAGGACATTTTTTCATTTATTCTCACCTCTATAATACCAACATAAAAACATGCACAGGGTTCCCCTTTCTTAAAATAATACCCCCTTCTCCATCTTGCAGCCTAATTCTTTCACCCTCTGTTTCCCTTCCTTTCCTGATTATGCTTCTAATTAATCAGAGTTGTCTCTACTTGTTTCCATTTCTTCTACTTTCATTCACTAAAGAGATTCTTACTCATCACCTTTAATCTGATTTCTACAACCCTCTAATTGTAGTTCAATTAGAGGGTTGTAGAAATCAAAAGAATAGTTTTCTATCCTTATCTTGCTTGAATCCCTGTGTTTAACTTACGTTGTTCATTCCTTCCTTAAAACTTTTTTCTTGGCTTTTATGATATTGTTTTCCTTATTTTTCTTCTACTTATCTAAATGTTTTTCAGTTTTCTAAAATAGTTGTTTTTTGTTTGTTCTGTTCAAATCCATAATACCTAGTGTTTCTCAAGATTTTGTCCTACTTTTGGCAACTGCAAAGTTGGGAAGATCCCAGTCTGGCTGAGGACATCAGATCTCATTGTCCTTCCAGCCCTAAACCCTTTCCCCAAGCCCTTCAATGAAATGGTTTGATTAAAAAAAAATAAAAATAATAATAATAATAATTCTTTCCTAAACTCTCTTTTCACTCAGTTCACTTTGTCTCATCTTTTCCTGTGACTTAAACTTTAGACTTTCAAATCTATGTATTTAGCACAGACCTTTGAACACTGAGCTCCATGTCAGTATTCAAAGACATCTAGTATCTTCACTAAGGGGTTCATCTGCACCACTAAACTGTGAACGTGTCAAAAACTGAACTCTCTTTTTTCTCCTACCCCTACGTCCCCAGATCTACTCTCATCCTCTCTGCTCTTGGTTATTATGGTTATTATGATGGCCTCCTAAGTAGATTTCTTGCCTCTCCTTCCCCCAATCATTCCTCCAAACTTCCACCAATTTATCTTTCTAAAATGCACATATTATCAGGTTGCTTCCTTGCTTAAAGTCCTTCAGTGGCATCCCATCTAATAAACACCAGGTTCCATAAGGTGACATAGGGTGTTTCATGGCTTGATTTCTTGACTTCCTTTCTTAAAAGTCTCATAAGCCTGTTTCACATATGTATTTCACATGTCTGTTGCCCACATGTTATACTCCTTCCCTTTACACATACTATTATTGAAATGTTTTCCATCTTGTTCACTTGGTGACTCCATGACATTTATGAAGATTATCTAAATGTTTCTTTCAAACGTTCCCTCCGAAACCTCCTTTCCCCCAGTATGAAATTAAGGGTTCTCGCTTATGTACTCCGATAGCACTTCTGTGCGCATTTATTATGAGTCTTATGATAAATGCTCTGTTTACTTGTGTATGTTCCACTACTGGACTCTGAACTCACTGAGTTGCGAGGTAGATTCAACTGGAATGCCCTCAGCCATCTTTGCTCAAATGAAAACCTCTCCCTTAATGTCTTTATTATAAATCCATATAGTGATATTTGGAAAAAATATGTACATATCAGAAAAAAGTTTCTAAGTCTAATAATGATAATTCTTTTGCACATAAAAAGACCATAAATTAGTTCTGTCATTTTCTAGAAAAATAAATTCTATTCTGTTCAAAATATAAAATAAGTAACAAAAAGAGATCTCTAAAATCTCTTATTATAAACCCATTCTAAATATGTTCACACAGAAATGTATGGTATTTGACAGCAGTTTAAAGACCTGGAAATGTGAGATGTGACTTTCTGTCAGTTGAAAGTGTCCTAGCAGACACTAAAATAATGCTTCCTGAATCTTCACACATGGTCCTATGGAGAGGTGGCAAATCAACTCATGTGAGAAGGACTACGGGGGATTAGGAGGATAGAAAAGGTGAATGTAAGAAAAATATAAGTGACGGGGGGAAAATAACCTAGAGCATGAAACTTCCTGAAAAATTTACTCAGCAATAACCAGGAGATGAATATGCCTTTCAAAACCCATCTTCTATAGGAAAGTATTCAAATTTTAACCTCATGGTAGGGAAACTCTTTAAGATAAGTCACCTCAGCCATGAATAAAATGTTCCTGGCCCAATCACAAAAGTCAGTAGATTCATCTTTTAATTCTTCGGCTGTGGTAATAGATAATGTACCTCAAAACAGAAATGGTGTCATAGATATTTCTAGTAACCAGAAAGTATTAGTACATTTTACTGAATGTAAAGGCAATTAAGATCAAAGAAATACTAAATTATTTTTTTCTGAATAATGTTTGAAGCATGTTATTCACAGACATGATATAAACTTTGTCTTTCATTTGACTAACTTAAAAAATTCATCTTTGATGCTATAGTCAACACAGAAAGCCTATTTCTTTCCAGAATCTTTGATAGTGTCCCTTTGACATATTAGATTTAAATATAATGACTAAGAATTCTATCAGTGGTAGATATTTTTATTGAAAATTATTATATATTGTATATAAAACATGCTTTTTATTGTACTATTCTTAATTATTTTTTCAGACTCTTTAATGTTTCTTTACATTTTATAGATAAACTCATTGGAGTTCATTGTACTAATGGAATTAACAGAACAGGATACCTTATATGTAGGTAAGAATGATAAGGGTGGTAGAAGAAAATTTTAAAATTCAGCCTTACCTATTTTGTAAAATTGAAATGATATTTTTATTCAGGTATCTTATCGATGTGGAAGGCTGGGATCCAGATACCGCAATTCAAGGTATTTTTTATGAAGTTCAGCTAAAATCAAGGACCAGTGTTATAAAAACATCTAGTGCCATGTAAATAAATATGCATCAAAATACAGATAATAATGCTTTTTGCTTTTTTCTTCTATATTATTTTGTTTTAGGGTTAGCACCTTTTCAACTTAATACATTTTAACTAGATTTTTAGTATTGCCATTTACTAAAAAAAAAAAGAAAACTAAATTTTTAGACTCTCATCACTGCTGCTATAATAAATCAGTTTGTTACATAATCTGCTAGTTGGTTAAAGAAATCCAACAATTTTGTCTCATAATTTATCTCATTAATTTTATTTGATCAACATTAATCATTCATTGATTATTTTTAGCTTTTGGTGAGGCCCGTGGTCATCAAATAGATGGATGTGTATACTTAGCGGATCTCAAAACGCAACCCATGAGAAGGTAAATTTTAAACCCTATTGTGAGTTGTATCTTATCCAAGGATCTTATTCCTTTAGTAAAAGTTCTCTCTTATCCTTTGCAGGTTTCTTTTTTTTTTTTAAGCTGAGACATCCTGCCACCTGTTGGCAGCTCAGCTCAGGCCGGGAATCGAACCGGTGAACCTGTTGCTCAGAGCTCGCACTCTTGAGTGAGCTCTTAACCAACTGAGCCACTTGGCTGGCCCTGTTTGCAGGTTTCTTAAAGTAAAACCTTTGTTATAACTCTCATTGTTAAATATAGAAACTAAAAAAGAATTAATTGGTATATCATTAGGACTATCTGATGGCCATAACTAATTTTTGTGTTCAATATATTCAGAAGTTTTGGAAAATTATCCCAAAGAATGTTAGTCATAGTTACAAATCTTGCCATTGTATTTGTCAAAAAATTCAGACTTTGTCATCTCCTAAATTTGGCCTCATAGTGAATGGAAGAAATGATTTTAAACTGAAAAGGTTTTAAGTATATAGGTATTATCAGTCAGTCACCTTTATCACAGAAGAGGACCCTTGGGATGCTTGTTCTAGAATGGTAGTTTCTGAACTTGGCAATATAGCAGAACCAGCCAGAGAATGTTTTAAAAAGACAGACTCCTGGGCCCCACCATATGAGCTACTAATTTAATAGGTTTAATATGGGGGAAAAGGAGTCAGGAATTTGATTTTTAAAAGTTTCTCAGGATTGGGAACCAATGTGCTAGACCATATAAATGATTAACCCTAATTCCTGGACTGCCACCAGACTGAGTCAACTGAAAAATATACCCCTAAGTAAGTAAATGAATTGACCTCCTTGATGGAGCTATCGATCATAACCTATTGTAGTATTTTGAGATTGCCTTTTAGAAATAGCAGCATAGTGGATATTAAGCTACTATGTAAATAGTAAATAGATAAAAGATGCAGTTGCTTCTTGAAGTCTATCCTATTTCATGATACGAAGACTATATACCATCATAGAGGAGCATATTTTTCTTTGGTGGGGAAACCTGTGTCCACTTTATTTAGAAACTGCATCAATCAATGGAATTGTAATAGATAAGCATGATATCAGGGGTGGGAGGGCAGTAGATCGGGGAGGGGGGTTGTTTCTGTGTAAGGTAAAAAGGATAACTATTGCAATGTTCTGTACACCTGAAACTAACAATAAAAAATAAATTAATTAAAAAAAAAAAGAAACTGCATCAAGCAAGTTACTTGGATATAAATTTTAAAAGATGGGTTAGGATGCATCTCTAAGTGTTTAAACACTGCCTGGCACATTTTGGGCACCTATAAAGTATTTGCTGAATGGATGAATCAATGAATTGATGGATGGTGCTGGAGAAAGGCATCCAACAAATAAGAATTTCATATGGTAAAAGTATAGGTCCTCAGAGAAGCTACATGGAAGAGTGTGGAGTGAGGGAAATCTGGTGTTCAGCACTTTAATACCCCTGACCATTTATTCCCACTCCCCCTTTATCTCTTCTATTAACCTTTCCTCATAGTGCCTGTGCCTTAAGCCCTTAATTTTTATGATCTTGTGACCATTGGAAATAATGTTTACATCCTAACAGTTGAAAATCCTCTCTCAGATTTTACTTGGCTGATGACCTTTACCTTATGGTTCTTAAGCTTTATTCTTTCCACTAAAGCAAAATGGCAGAATACCTGTAGATTTTTCCAAAATGCAAACTGTGCATATTTGCTTTTTTTTTTTCTTATTTTGTGCTTATGTTTCTGAAAGCCTATAACTGTGTTTCTGATTGAATTTAAATTTTCTTATTGACATTTTTCCTCTAGTAATCTTGGAATGGATGTCTGGGATTCTGATGAAGATATAAATCCACCATCTAATTCTATGGAAGAATCCAGGGATTGGCACCCAACTGAAGACTTTCATGGGTAAAAATAACATGATTTTAGATAAATATTTTATGAAAGTTAAGAAACAAATTCCTTAATGATGGTGAAGTAGGGGAAAAACCCACGGGACTGGGAATCAGAAAGTTTGCATTCAACTCTTAGCTCTGCCACCTACAAATTGTATGTAATCTAGAGCAAGTGACATAACCTTTTCAGGCGACACTGTTGTTTAATTTGTAACATAAAGCAATTGGACCAGATCAGTTAGCTTTTCTTATGCTCAGTTCTAAGGACATATAAAACTAGTATTTCATGAGATAATAGTTTTATAAGACTAAAGAGTGTTATTTTTTTTTAATCAAATAAGTTTTGGAAACACAAATATCACCATGAACATTAGCTTATTAGCCCTTAGAATTCCTGAAGTAGCAATTTATTAAATTTTATTTAACCCAGCATTTCCCCAACTTACTTGAGCACAGAACTCTCTTTTTTCCCCCCACAGAACGAGCATTACATTATATAGAATACAAATGCCCTCCAAACAATTTGGCAAATATTGAACTAGGTAATCTCTATGATCCCTTCAGAATCTAAAATGCTATGATTCTAAGTAATAATTTGTGTTTATTCTATCAATATATCTGAAACTGAATCAAAGGTGTCAGATGATACTAGAATTTCTTCTATGACTCACACATGCATACTCACATCTACATATATATACTAGAATTTCTTCTGACTTACACATATATATGTGTATACATATATACATATATCTTTATAAACTGATAAGACAATTTAAAAATTATCTTGAAACCTTTTTTCTCTATCTTTACAAAAAAAAAAGTTTTTGCACTCCTCTCTATGGCATTTTTCTCTATAACCTAATCCTCGAATATAAAATACTATTTCAAAACATGAGGGATATTTAGTATTTATAGTAAAAAAAAAAACCTGGGATATTATATAACTATCATTTCCAATAAATTGAGATTATCTACTATGAACTGAATTAGTATAAGTTAGAATTAATGGGCTGTTCTTCCACTTTGTTTTTCTTCCAGCTTCAATCCTTACCTCAAAACATGAAGCATTTTGCCACTTGAACAGTTCTGGTTTTTCGCTTCCCCTGGAGGAGGAATACTTGAGCAATGCTAGGCATTCATTGTGTTAGGCATTAGCAGGCATCACAGGATATACATAAAATACAAGAGGGGGTATACAGCGCTCTTCAGCTTATCATGACATTTCATATCTGCTTTGACACAGTCTCTTTCACTCATTTAATCTATACCCATTCTTAGGAAGCATATATCTTCACAATTCAAAGTAACTATTTCATTCCTATTTCTTATGAATAAAATCCTAGTGAAAATTTATCTCAGAAGTCAGTGCCAGAAACTGTTGTTTTGTTTTTCGGACAATATGGCAGGGGAGGGAGGGGAGCGGGAAGGAGGTATTGTTCGTTTTTGTTTAGGTTGGGTTTTGTTTGGTTTTATAAAACAAACAAAAATTAGAAAAGTTTGCTTTTCTAACAAACAGAAGTTTGCTTTTGTGAAACAAATTCTAAAGTTAAAACTTATTGCTAAGAAACAAAGTTCTAACTTTGTGGTCAATTACTGCATCTTACCCTGGGTTTTAATTCTAAATGCTATGGATGTCGATTCCTCTTTTTAACTCTATTTCAGGTTGATGTGTTTTTTATGTTGTAAAACAGTTTAGCAGTTCCTTAGAAAACTAAAAATGGATTTAACATACAATCCAGCAGTTACACTCTTGTACATTTATCCCAGAGAAATAAAAACTTGTTCACACAGAAACCTGACATGAATGCTTAGCGCAACTTTATTTATAATAGTAAAAAACTGGAAACGGCCCAAATGTAATATTTATATGAAATATTTTATAAGATCTATTAATCCTTCTTAGGAGTAATTATATAAAAATCAACATGTTTTTATTTCTTCTGACATGAAGTTAATATTATAATCCAGCATGTTATCAGCCATATTTGTAAGGTTACTTCTTTAACCCATCAGATAAATTGTGTCAAAAGTTACCTGGTTGTGACACAGTCCTTTAAATGGAAAGATGGTGTGAAATGTGTTATCAGTTTTTAGAAAAAAATATATATTCTTAATATCAACATACTTTTGTTTGGAAATTTACAAGTTGATAGTTGCAGGAGAGAGTTTGGGGTTCATAAGCAGATACAAAGGAGAAAAATGAAAATGAGGCACTACCCAATTTCGGGGACATCATTTATGTCCTGTTGAATAAAGGGAGATTTTGCTAAGAGCCTAACATTTCTTCTTTATTTGCTCTTAAAATACTAAGGATTTAAACCATCTTTTCCCTGTATAGGTCTGGGAAAAGGTCAAGTCTTCTTAATGACCAGCACTCTCGAGATGATGGTGTACAGATAAAGGATTATGATTATGTCAACGATGAGCCTTTGCAGAGGCATGGGGATTTTTATAAACGCCATTATAGTGACAGCATGCCAGAAGAGAGACGCCTAAGAGATTGGGATTTTGATGACAAAGGACCAGGACCAAGATGTTCATTTTTTGCTGATCACCAGTGTTATGACATCTCCCAAGAGGAACTAGATTATAAGTTACCTGGAACAAGACGAAGAGCATTTCATGATCACCTGCCTCACAGTGACTTCCATGAATCAGACGCTGGAGATGATTTTGATTTTGTTAGCAAAGTTTGTAGAAAAAGGAGACATTCTGTTCAGAATCACCAGGCTTATGATAACTTTTGTGAACAATTTCCATCTCAGGATTTTGGTTTTGTTAACAGAAGCCAGGGACAAAAACAACGATCTTTCCATAACCGCCATGAGTACCAGGACCAGTCGCCTAGACGAGGTTTTAATTACCTCAGTAGAGGTGGTTTTCAAAGGCAAAAATCTTTCCATCATCCTTATTCTCATGATGAAATGAATTTGGAAGATTTTGAATATGCTGATGAAGTATCAGAGCACACACTGGGACCTTTACATGACCATTCCAACAGTGATTTCTCCGAGAAAATGCCATTGAAAAGATGTGTTAATAGAGATTTTGAACAAAGACTACCATCCTTTCCAAAGTTTCAAAAACAAATGCAGTTAAGAGATTTTGATTTCGACGATGGAACTGGACCAAAGCAAGTATCTTACTGTGACCTTCCACCTAGTGATGCACAAGAACAGATTCTGTTGGAAGACTTGGACTTTAAACAGGAGAAACATCCTTACAGAAACCTAGATCTTGTCAGGACCACACACTTCCCGATAGCATAAATCCTGATTGGTATTTAGATGAGTCATTTTGTATAATAAGGACCTGCACTTAGTCCAACAAAACACTCAGTCTTCTTTCAAATTAGGGTATTTGTACAAACATTCAAAAATGGTATAAATTACCACCCAAAACTAAAATGCAGATTTGTTTTTTTATAGATTCAATGTATAATCAAGGTTTATTTTGATTGCTGTGAATTAGAAATTTTCCTTGAAGTTATTCCCCAGGATTGACGTAAATATAACAAATTAGACTTAAATGGTTTAATTCTTGACCATAAGCTAGAAGTAAAAAATATCAGAAACAGCTTTTTCACAGAAATACCACTATTTTTAGACAAGGATTTTAAAAAATATATTCCTTTTAGATGTGCTACAAAATTATTTTTTAATATACACAACCCAGTAGTCCTTTTCTCTGTCATTCAGCAATTTTTCATCTGTGCCATTAGATGGCTGGAGCATCAGGAGAGCAGTGACCCCAGTGAGACTGAAGTGCAAAGCAAGGAGAAGGGTGAGGCGTGACATTCTAAAGGGAAAGAACAAGACAAGGAAGAAAGAAAATTTTAAAGAGGGGATAGAAGTACTAAGAGAAGCCAGGGACAGAGAACAGAGAATAGAAAATAAGACCATGGAACAGAGAAGGTTTGAGAAGGAGATGAAGACTTACATGGAGAGAAACTTATGTGCCTTCCTCCCAATTTAGAATGCTTTCTCCAGTTATACAATCTTATCCTACATATATACCTGGATAGATGTGAACTCTTGCCTGAACCTAATATTGGCTACCTTAGTTTTCTTTGGAAGCTATTCTTTTTTCACTCCTAACTTTTCTACCAACATCTAATCTATCTTCCTCACTTTGTTCACTTCACAGGAAATATGGCACTGATAATCGCAGAAGCAGAAGTCAGAGGTAAATACTGATTTAGCTGTGAAACCAGCTTTTTCAAACCTATCCCTAATTGCTACCACTGACGTGTAAACGTTAAAAGACAAGCGTTTCCTGAAGTCACATGTGTTCAGGGTTTATATATAACCTCTGCGGTCCTGGGTACAACCTTTTGAAGTGACTGTCACTTCTCCCTATGGTTTGAGGTTGCAAAGCTGATTCATCAGTTCATCTGCACCCGGGTTTCCAATGGCTAACAGTTGGTACCAGTTAAGCCAGAAATTTAAGTTTCATTTCCTTTATGATAGCTTAGCTCCATTCCATATTATGAGTCTACATCGTATCCCAGCTCACTGTCTTCCACTGGACAAGATAAAAGACAAGATTGGTTAGTAAAAATCTTTCACTTCCCTTGAGAGAACCTCTCTTACTGATGATGGTCTGGGTTAGGAGGATTATAGTATTCAAGAGAACATAGAAAAGAAAAGGCCTTTTATTGGCTTCTTTTTTCCCCCATCGTGTCACTCAGTACCACTTGTGGGATAAAGGTTACAAGTACCCTATGTGAAATAAGTTTCAGTATAAAAGGATATTACATATTGATTTATAGTAAATTACTCAGTAGAAATCAGATTGGAGTTTCTGTTTCAAATTAGTTTTTTTACTTCCCTGACTTGTTCAGCTACTGTAGACAGGGTTAAAGTGGTTCAAAGACAGTCTGATCAATTGGAGAGACCTAAAGGAAAAGTTTAGATAGACCAAAAGAGACCTTGGTTTGCAGGGGAGTAAAGAAAGGCAGGTGACAGCCAAGACGGGATTCCTCCTGGTCTCTTCCTGTTAACTTATCCACAGCTGACAGGCCTCAGAACACGGCGTATTAGCAATGTGGATCAGAAAGGACTGTATAGCAGGAAAACAGAGTTCTTTATAGACACTACTGAACATTTACATTGAAAACCTGCTAGAGTTATCTCACAAATGTATATTTTAGTAGATGTTTATTAAAAGAGAGGTTTTAGGTTTAAAAATGTATTAAAAACAAAAATTACACTTTAAAATAGGTGATTCATTAGCCTTCTTCAGCTTCTCAGTTGCAAAGAAATATTCTAAAAAAGATTGTAAGTAACATAACCCATCAGTATACTGCTACACCAAAGTAATTCTTCTATTCTTTTTAACATCATAATCTAAACGGGAATAGGCAAATATAGCTGCTGTGGTCTTAATTCTCCTGGCAGGATGAAGAAGGGCCCATAAAATATATCCTACTTCCTTCCATGCAAGGTGCCTTCTTCTATACAATTAAGGACCTTAACCCTCTGTTTACTTTTACCATGGTGCATCATGCAATGATTCTGCCTACCTTCACCATTTGACTGTTGCTAAAAGAGCACATTTACTTCTTTTACACAATGCCCTCCATAAAGTTTGAATCCTGTTCCATCTGTGGTCATAATTAACACTTGTTTCTGGCAAGATTGGTAAAATGATGATAATTGATGAAGTTCTGTAATGGGCACATGGATGTGTATTCTATTATACTTTTGTTTATGTTTAAAAATTCTAATAATAAAAAAGTTAAAAATAACTTGTTTCTGTTATATTATTAGACTGGTCCATCCAGAAGATAGTCGAAGAATACATCCTTCAGATGAATTTAACTACAGGAGACGGAGCAGATTCACAGCATATTCTTCACGGGGACTTTCACCTTCATGTGTATTCCATGAAGATGGTTCAGTTGACTATTATAGAGGTAAAAATTCAAGAGAGAGGGAACAGCACAAAAGGTCATATTTTTAAGCTACTGATTACAATTACGGCATGCCTGTAGGTTGCAGAGCTGAAGAGAAAGAGAACATTATGATTTACCGTCAAGAAAAACTGCAATTGGTGCTGAGTAGTTCACTTTAAAAACTGCCCACCATTTATCTACATTTTGACTCTAAAATATAAGTATCAAGATTATCTTGTGTTATTTTTGAATCCAGATTTTTCAGAGATCTTTCATCAGGCATGTTGGCCTGAATAAACAGGCTTCTCTGCCTTCACAAAAAAGGCAACAAAACGTGAGAAATAAAGTGAAATTCAGAGCCGGGATCTTTAAAAAAGCTTGTTTAAGAATAATGTTAAACTCATATATAATAAATAATAGCAAGAATGTTATAGCATCTATAACTGTTTAAACAAAAAATCCCCCCTCAAGAGAAGGACAAAGGATTGTTGTCTGTGTCCTTGTAGCTTTGAATGTATCTTTAGACCTGTGCTGTCCAATATGGTAGCTACTAGTCACATGTGACTATTGAGCACTTGAAATGTAGCTAGTCCTGATAAAGATGTGCTGTAACATCTCATTAATGATTTTTATATTAACTACATGTTGAAATGTTAATTTTTTTAGATATAGTCACTTTATGAAACTCCTTAGTTACTCAGTTTGATTGTACCATATTTTTTTTACAGAGGTCTTGACTGATACAAAATTAAAATGAAGTATACTTTTTAAAAACTTTTACTTATATCACATTGTATATTTCTTATTAAGGTGAAACTTTTATATTTCTCTCTCTATCTCTTTATATTTCTCTCTCTCTCTCTCTCTCTCTCTCTCTCTCTCTCTCTCTCTCTCTCTCTCTCT